CTTGCGATGACGAATGCTATCAAACTCCTTGCATCATTACCATCAAAATCGAGATATCCTTATAATAACTCATCGGGTGGCACCAAATATGTTTGGTCCCATCGATTACTTTCATCGAAAGGATCGACCATCACATCTGGTGGTCCTTCAGTTTCATCCGAGCCTGCTTCAAAGAACGTAGGTTGTGGCTGCTCGGATGAGTGGCATGGTGGTGAAGGCACGGGTCCGTATAAGGATACGGAACTCGGTTGTGGTGGTACACCACCCGGAAAATTGACTCCACGTTCGGCATTGAACGTGTTTCTGAACCCGAAGGCATGGAGTAAAACGTTGGGGTCGATAATGAAGGATTGGGTGGTCGTGCAGTACTCAGTCCAACAGCGTAACGGTGGAAGGAGGAATGACCAAACGATGGAGGGAAGGCGGCGATTTTGGATGCACGTATTGCCATCCTTGGTGGTAATCCTTGTGGTCTTCGTGCACCTCATTAAGGAAGTGATGGTGTGGGCAGAGGGTCAGAATTACTTGGAACATCGACGACAACTGGTACGGCATGGCGGCGGTGTCCTCCAATGTTGAGCGGCAGGGGAGCTCCTTGGTTCTCTTGGTTATGTGTTCTTAAATAAGTGGAGTAATCAGCGTGTGGAGGAGGCGACGATCATTGAACCGACGATGAAGCGTTGAACGGCGGTCTCAGGTTTGTAGTATGTGGCCGATCGAATGAAGTAAAGGAAGAAAGGTGGAGAGGCGTTGAATTCAAAAAGAAAGAAGATGTAGAGTTGTTTGTGGGGGCTTATCACGTGGGGAATAAAAGAATGGAAAAGAATTTTAATTTTAGTCAAACTAAAATGGTGGAAAGATAGATGATTGGCTTAGAATTGGTAAAGTTAAGATAATGATAGATAAGTTGGGCCCATAATGAATAAATTTGAAACAAAGGTGGTTTCAAACTTGGAATTTTTTTACAGTGGATGGAACAACTAAAATTAGGGTTTGCTAATATACGCCTCTTAGGGTTTGGGTTTTGCTAACGTGCACCCCTTCCTACTTTCAAACGTGAACATTGCTCTTTTCGTCAAATATTCTATCGGAATTCAGATCTGTTCAGATAAAAATAAAATAAAATTAATTAAAATAAAATAAAATAAATAGAATGAAAATAAAGTTTGCTAAAAATAAAATAAAAAAAACAAAATAAAATAAAAATAGAACGAAATGGGTTGCCTCCCATCAAGCGCTTTTGTTTAACGTCGTTAGCTCGACGACCTGATTTTCAAAGTGTGGGTTCCTCTAAATTGATTTATTCGATTAGACCAACCGAATCATTTTCATAATACGGTTTCAACCGAAGAAAACAAAGAAGTATGTGAAAAATAGATAGAAAACTAGAGAGAAAAAGAAGATTTAATTCTCAGATGAGAGAGATATGTCTCTAGGCTCACCCTTAGAGGGTATTTATAGCCTTCAAATTCCTAAAAATAAGCTAAAGATAATTCCTAAAATAATATCTTTTATCCTAGTAAAAAAACTTAAAACTATTTAAATTAAAATACTTAAAACAAAGATAAACTAAAATACTATTTAAAATAATATCCTAAATCCTAATTGAAATACTAAAACCTATTTAAACTAAAATACAAAGATAAAATATAATGTTTAAAATATTATCCTAAACTTGTGTTTAATTCAAATTTGTATTCCATAATCGTGCGGCCAATTCATTCGTTCTTCTAGAAACGCTGATTGGATCTTTTAGAAGGTGTTGACATCATCGCCTCGTCGGATATTTCATGCCCGAGTTCATTCCCACTAATCCAGCTTCGATTCCGAAAATAAAAAAACTACAAAATTTTGTCATTTTAGTGCAATTTCCAGAATCTAACGTCCTGCACAGAAAATGAATCAAAATGAACAAATAAGCCACAAAACCCAATGATTAAGGAGTAATTTAAAAGCTAAATATTAACTAATTTAAGCACTTATCAATGTTCAGACTGTTAAAGATTTTCTTAACGCGTTTCTGGATTCAAATTTACTATCTGATTGTGAGGTTGAGTTAGACATTGAGGTATATCCTAATATAAATTTGGTGTCCATTGTATTATATCAGATGGTACTTAAGTAATTGAAATTTTGAATGTTCAATTATAAGAATTATTGTATAGAGGATTCATTTGACCTAGTATTTCTTTATGAGATGCTCTTGTGTTGTTTGCCAAGAAGAAAGATGGTATGATGCGATTATGTATTGATTATCGCCAGTTGAATAATTTAACTATCAAGAATAGGTATTCTTTGTAGAGGATTGATGTCTTATTTGATTAGTTATAAAAAAATAAAAATATGTAATATATATTTTTTGTTAGAATTTTTTTATTAAATGAAACAAATAGCAATTCATTACAATATAAAAAATGTCAAAAATATTTTAAGCATACAAATACTTATAAAAAATGCTTTCAAATATTTATTGATGCAAAAATCATTAATGATAGTGTCAACGTCGTTACTTTCCAACATATTTTTCTCAAGTCATAATATAACATTTGGAAATAAAAGAACGATCATATTTAGAATTTGAAATATTAAAAAAATAAATAATTTGAAAACATGATCTTATCTAGTATTTTAAGAACAATCTTCAATATGATTCAAGCACCACAATTGTGACTTTGTGTTTGTGAGAAAATATTAAAAATTAAAAGTGAGAGTAATAATGTTAAGAGGAATTGTGAAATACGGAAGAGAAAAGAAATATACTAATTATACTTAATTTTTTCTCCTATTGAGTTTTGAAAAGAAATAACGTTAATAATTTTTTCCATTGACATGGAAAATCAAAAAAAAGATTTGACGCATTGATGGTGGGAATTTGAAAAGACCAAAATTAAAAAGATTCAATTTGAATTTTTTTTAAAAAAAAAGAAATATTGAACTACACTTTTATGGGAAGTGGAACAATTTATTAACACTGATATAAAAATTCAATAATTACAATTAATACCTTAATAAACTCGTGGGTCTCATTATTTAATTTTACAGTTTTTTTTTAATTTCTTAACAAAAATAAGGGAAATGTTATACTAACAATATTTTTTAATTTATGAGTCCTAGGCAGGCGTCCTTTTTACCTTGGCTTAGGACTGGTCCTCCTCATTAAGCACCCATATAAATGACTCGTATTTACACTTTTCTTAAGTCTATATATATATATATAATATATATATATATATATATATATATATATATATATATATATAGATAAATAGATAAATAGATTTGTATCGTGCTCATTAAAATTACATACTTAGTATTTAAATTATCACTTTTATTTTATTTTAGTACTTAAATTTTATGTTATTTTTAAAATCATTCATAACGTTTAGTTTAGGTTTTAATTTAGTATTCGTCGTTAAAAACTAACTGCATCGATGATGTGGAATTATTTTTCCCTTTTTTAATATTCCATGCGTCTTGTAATGTAAATTCCACATCATCAGTACCGCTAAGTTTTTAACAATATCATATTGAAACTTAAACTAAACATTAAGTATGAATTTGTAGAAAAAAATAAATTTAAGTACTAAAATAGAATAGAAATAACAGTTTAGATACTAAATGTGAAGTTTACCCTAAAACTAATGGTGGAAGTAGATGAAAATAATGACCACGAGCAACAGGTGTCTCTGTTATGGTGAATAAAAATTAAGGAAAATACTGACACTGAATCCTTGGTGCGTTGATCCCTTGATAACCCACACCACCCATCTATGATTATTTTATATCTATTGCTAACGCCTTTAACTCCCTATTTACGCATTCTAATTACTAAACAGGATCGTGCCAATGATGTCAATGCTGAACGAATTTCTTCTTCCTCTTCAAATAAAAAAATTCATGATGATTCAATTTTGGACTCATCGAATGATCTTAGTAGTTAAGAGAGTATTATTCTCTTTTGATATTTTAGGTTCGAATAGTTATATTTACAGGGTGTATACATTATCAACGATTAAGATAGATTATGAACAAATACTACACTATAATCTCTCCAGATTATTCAAAACATAAATAAATATTTGATATATTAATAGTATATTATTTTATATATCATGAGTGAATTAAATAATAGTACATTTTTTAAAACAACATAATCTTTATATTTTATGATATAATATCATCCTCTTATTAAGGATGCATAAACATGCATTATTTACATATTAAATATTAATCCAAAAAGTTAGATAAGGAGATAATTCATAACCACTAGATCAGATTGTTTTTCCTCCATTGCAAATTCAATTTCCCACAAACTCCCATAAAATGTCAAATAATCTTGAGTGATATAGGATTTGTTCTGTTGTGAGCTCGCACATGGTGGGCTCTAGGACCTTCATGAAATTCTTTTATTTTATAACTTTAATAGTAAGTAACCCTTTAATAGTAAGTATATTAAAATAATTGAGTAAATACATTTAACCGACTGATCAAACTGTTTATCTTTGTTCCGTTTATTTTAGTATTCAAGTGGTTCCTTATTTACCTTAGTATTCATCTTTGATTAATATAAAAACAAAATCTTATTTAAAATATTAGATGGTTTTCTTTCCTTTTATTTGCATTGTTACCATCTTGGAAGGAAGAAATCAAGAGGCAGAGATGCCCAAAGTTGATTAGTCATTTGGGAACGTATTGGCGCAATGGATAGGCAACAATATCTTCATCTTTTGGTAACCCTTAATAGTGGCTATGTGGTCCTTTCCTTTCAGAGGCAATAGCTGCGCCCATTCCTTCCCTAATACCCTCTGATCTTTAAGTCACTATATATATTTGGCTTGATTAAAAAGGAGAAGGAAACCTGAAGAACTAAATGAATGGTGTTGATCAAATTGAAACACCTAGGTAGATGATAGGTGATGCAGGAGCATCAACCACAATACGTGCTAGTCAATTGTAGGGAAATATTTAGTGGGAGACTTGAGAGTTTAAAGGTCCCTTAATTGGATTCCATTGCCTACAAGTTGAAAGACTTTTATAACAAAAAACTTCAAGTTCCCACGCTTCCCAATTCCCTATATAAGCTTGCCGAATTCATCAAAGTACTCAAAGGAAAAATCACTAATCATTTCTCCACCATGACCAAGCATCTGTATGTTTGGGTTTCTTTTACCATCTTATTTATCTTAATTAAGCTAGCAAAAGCTGACAATTATATTGTCCATATGGACCTCTCAGCCATGCCCAAAGCCTTCTCTAACCACCAAAGCTGGTACTTGTCCACTCTTTCATCTGTATCACCCAAATCCAGAGCTCAAACCAACATTAATCTCCCTTTTTCTAAACTTATCTATACCTACAACCATGTTATTCAAGGTTTTAGTGCAAGTCTCACACCTGCAGAGCTTGAGGTCTTGAAGAATTCTCCAGGGTATGTTTCTTCTGTTATAGATAGAACTGTGAAGGTCGATACAACCCATTCTTTCAAGTTTCTTGGCTTGAATTCCGGTACCGGTGCTTGGCCGGTGTCAAATTTCGGCAAGGATGTCATTATCGGGGTGATTGATACTGGGGTTTGGCCAGAAAGTGAAAGCTTTAATGATAATGGGGTGACTGATGTTCCATCGAGATGGAAAGGAGAATGTGAAAGTGGCATCCAATTCAATTCCTCATCGTGCAACAAAAAGCTCATTGGTGCTCGGTTTTTCAATAAAGGCCTGATTGCGCACAATCCCAATATAACTATCTCAATGAATTCTCCGCGGGACACTGAAGGACACGGCACCCACACTTCAACAACTGCTGCTGGAACTTATGTCGAAGATACATCGTACTTTGGCTATGCCGTGGGAACTGCAAGAGGAATGGCCCCAGGAGCTCGTGTGGCCATGTATAAAGCTCTCTGGGAAGAAGGAGCTTACACCACAGATATAATTGCAGCCATTGATCAAGCGATCGATGACGGTGTTGATGTGCTTTCCATGTCATTAGGCTTGGATGAGCTTGAGTTGTATGAAGACCCAATTGCAATAGCCACATTTGCCGCCATAGAGAAGAACATCTTCGTTTCGACGTCTGCAGGAAACGAAGGACCAGATGTGGAGACCTTGCACAATGGAACACCTTGGGTTTTAACCGTCGCGGCCGGCACCATGGATCGAGAGTTCGTCGCAACGTTAAATCTTGGTAGCAAAGGGCCAGTCAATGGTATAGCTCTCTATCCTGGGAATTTCTCTTCAAGCGAATTCCCAATTGTTTTCATGGACGCATGTGGCAACACAACTGATCTGAGGAAAACCAAGCAGAAGATCATTGTGTGCCAAGATCCAGGCAAGGAAGACTCCCTCAATGACCAGTTTAACAACGTTCAAGTAGCTGGAAACATTGCCGGTGTCTTCATAACAAATAACAGTGACGTGGATGTATTCGCCCAAAGCCCATTTCCAGCCATTTTCTTGGAACAAAAAGATGGTGATGCAGTTGTGGAGTTCATTAAGACCAACAATGACCCAAAAGCCAGCATTGAATTTAAAAAAACAATCCTGGGTATAAAACCTTCACCAAGGGTAACTAGCTATACCTCTCGAGGTCCTTCCTACAGTTGTCCATCTGTTTTAAAGCCTGATATTATGGCCCCTGGCGACTCGGTCCTTGCTGCATGGCCTACAAACATTGGAGCAGCTCGTGTAAACGAGGACCTGGTGTTTTCAAACTTCAATCTACTTTCGGGAACATCCATGGCATGCCCCCATGTTTCAGGAATAGCAGCACTTTTAAAAGCATCATATCCTGATTGGAGCCCCGCCGCCATCAGATCAGCTTTGATGACTACATCGGATCAGATCGATAACACCGGCAGTCCTATAAAGGATATGGGCGATAATCTCCGGCCAGCCAATCCTTTAGCAATGGGAGCTGGCCATGTCAATCCCAATAAAGCGTTGGACCCTGGACTTGTATATGATGCTACGGTTCAAGATTATGTGAATCTTCTATGCGGTTTAAACTTCACAGAAAAACAAATCAAAATCATCACGAAATCATCTTCAAACAACTGCTCCAACCCTTCTCTGGATCTCAATTACCCTTCTTTTATTGCGTTTTTCGACGATACGGGCGCAAAACCAAATTCAACGGCCATGTTGGAGTTTCAAAGAACTGTGACAAATGTTGGAGGTGGGAGCTTCACCTACAGAGCAACTGTAACACCAATCAATGGACTTAAGGTGACGGTGGAACCAGACAAACTGGTTTTCACTGCAAAATACGAGAAGAAAAGCTTCAAACTGAGCGTTGAAGGTCAAAGACAACTGAATGAAGCAGTGTCGTTTGGTTATCTTATTTGGGAAGATAGTGGAAGAAAACATGTTGTTAGAAGTCCAATAGTTGCCACAAGCTACAAAATAGAAAAATGACCAACTCCATTTTTTTTCCATCTTCAAGTTTCTACTTTGATGAATAAAGAATGCACAAGGTTTAAGCAAACCAAATGATATTCTGTGAACTGTAATTACACTTGTCAGTTTCAGACATACAGGCTGAAGTTATGGATATATATAATTAAGGTTTTTGTAGCCATCTAAACTTCCAATTTGGTAATTTTGAATGTAAGAGATACTTTTTAGCAGAAACAAAACGCTTAATGCATGAATTGGTCCTAAAGTACACCACTTTTTCTACTTTGTTCCTTAATGATTTTTTGGTCCAGATTAGTCCATAAAGTATATTTTGTTAGCCGATTCAGTCCTTTTTCATAATCGTGTTAAGAAAAACCGGTTCGATACATGACCCGATTAATACACATCACATGGCACCTTTATTAAAAAATAAAATGACCAAAATAAGAAGAGGATGTAATTTAGGGGCCAAATCAAGTATGAAACCTTAAAAACATATTGAAAAAATAGAAAATATTTTTAAAAAAATAATAAAATTTAAGAGAATTATAAATATCTAAGTATAAATTCTAAAATCCAAAAAAAAATATTAACAAATAAAAAAATCTAAGTTCAAGTTAAAAAAGTAAAAAAAAATATCAAAATTTTAAAAATATATATTCTAATTAAAAATTCAAGAAATGTTCTTTCAAATGTCTAAATATAAATTCCAAAATGTAAATAATTCAAATTATATCGGTAAGCTAAAAGTATCATCATTTTGGTCTTAGTTTTGTTGTTTTTTTGTCATTAATTTCAAAAAACTATGTTTGAATCATTTATATTATTAATTTGTTTCAAAAGTATCAACATTTTGGTCTAAATATAAATTCCAAAATGTAAATAATTCAAATAAAAAGATCGAATGCAATTAGTGCATCAATGCATAAGGCATGCATCGATGCATCCCATTAATAATAAAACATCGAATGCATTTTATGCACCGATGCACAAGTAGTGCATCGATGCATACCTTCATTAAAAGAGGAAATTGACATTTATCTTAATCTAAAGAGTGAACCATTAGAGTATATTAGCTATAATACTGATATAGATCCATGTGTGATTATGTAGATACTAAAAGTAAGCTTATTCCGGAACGATCAAAGGATTAGAATCGAATCAAAGCAAAGCTAAGGTGAGTGTATACTATATGTATAGTATAATGGAATAAGACTTGTGATAAGTCTAATTCCTATATTGATTTTCATAGTACAATAGTTGTGAACATGCATACATGATAATTATTGTAATACATGCATAAGGCATATATATGTTCATGTGATTGGATAAATGATGTATATATATGAATATATTCAAATACACATGTGATATGATATATGATATGTGATATGAGAACATGACATGAGCTACATGATCACAAAAGAGATGACATGAGCTACATGATCACAAGAGAAATGACATGAGTACATGAATATATAAAATATAAGAATAATGCCCATAGTATACGATATGAGAGCTATAGGTGTATTTGGCATGCCAAGAGTTGAGGGTATAATAGTCCTTCGGGATGTAGTCCTTCGGGATGTAGTGGTCCTACGGGATATAGGGGTCCTACGGGACATATATGACAATCTTTCGGGATGAATACTGAACTAAGGTTCGGTGCCCATGAGGGAATTGATACGAGCTGTGGTGACAGCATTAGTGCACAACCTCAATGTACTCACATACCTCTATTCTCAATAATATACATGGGCAATTAAAATACAAAGTAAAGTGAAAGTGGTACAAGAAGGTAAGTTTTGTACATGCATGATATGATTATATATGTTATTTTGTAATAGATACATGCATATTGAAATGTCATGAAGGAAATGGTAAGAATGCATATTCATTTATTGCCTCACTAAGTCTATGACTTAGCGTGTAAGTGATTTACACGTAGGTACCAAGAAATAAGAAGATTCAGAATAGCAGTGGCACGGACAGCAACATTACTAAGAAATCATATCAGAAGTAATTGACAAAGTAGGTATTTTATTGTGTATAAAGTGTTGGTATGTAATAAGTGGTTAATTATGAATGCTCTGATCGATTTTGTATTAAGTGGTCTCTTTTATGTAAATTAAAGTATTTTGTTTTAATGAAAGTTTTAAATTCCTGGGATTTTCTTTAAGAATTAAAGTTTGAAAAGTCAATGTGACATCTTGGACTTGTATTCAGGTCGAATATGAGTTAGGGGTGTTACATTTAATGGTATCAGAGCTACGGTTTAGTCGATTCTCGGTATAAACCGGAGTCTAGAGAGTTTGATAATGTATATATACCAACAAAATAGTGGAAACTTCTGATCTGATGGAATAGTAAGTATGTTGTTTTGCTAATAGAACTATATGGTTGTATTTTTATAGATGTCCGGACGAGGTAGTTCTAGGAATGAAGCGGGAGATGATAGACCCGCTAAAAGTAGTAATTCACCTGCCCTGGCCAGGCAGAGTGAAGAACAGACATCATCTGGAATGCCTATAAATGATCAAGATGTATTCTTTATAACGTTAGACGCGGTTCCAACCTCCTGTTACTTCAACTCCAAAAATGATGTTGCGAAAGAGTTGAAGGGATTAGGAGCTCCAGAGTTTAGAGGGGAAGCCGATGAAGGTCCTGTTACTGCGAACCTTTGGCTTAATGACGTGAAGGTCATGCTTATGGGACTTCATTGTTCCGATGCTGAGAAGATAGATGGAGTAATTTCCTTATTGAGAAGACAAGCAAGGATATGGTGGACCAATGTTACATTGAGGATGTCTAACGCCCAAGTAACTTGGTCATTGTTTTTAGAAGAATTCAAGCATAAGTACATCAGAGATCAATTTGTGCGTCAAATGAAGCAAGAGTTCATGAATCTGAAACAATAGAATCACACTGTATATGAGTACGAGTGTTAATTCAATAAGTTGAGTCGTTTTACTACCGAGTTAATTCCTACGGAAAAGGATACTTGTGAGTGGTTTGTAGAGGGGTTATGTCCTCGGTTGAAGGAAATGTTAATTGTCTTGAATTTATCCTCGTTTCAAGAGGTAGTCAACCGTGCCAAGGCTCTGGAAAGAGCTCAGAACGAGAGGTTTAAAAATTTCAAAGCTCATACAGTTAAAAGATCGGGTGCTTCTTCGAGTTCCGCACTATCAAAGAGGGGCAGAGATGCTAGTTTTTGACCCCAAGTTAGATCAGAGTCAGTGGCATCCTCCGCTAAAGGATCAAATCAGATGAGAGGTAGACAAACTCAATCAGTGGGATCTGGAGCTGGGAGATCTAATCAGAGTCAAGCCAGATAATGCTCACATTGTGGAAAGAATCATTCAGGGATATACCGAATGATTTCTGGAATCTGCTTTAGATGTGGGGACGTTGGACATTTTGTTCGGGATTGTCCAATGTTAACCAGTGAATCTATACAGCCAGAGAGATCTATTTCTGCAGGCCAGAGAGGAAGAGGTAGAGGCAGAGGAAGAAGCCAATCGGAATCCTCTGCTCAACAGGAGATACACTCCACTGCTCGAGTGTACAACCTCAAGACCAATGAGGATTGTGATAACCCAGATATTATAACAGGTACCTTTCTATTGTTTGACAAAGGTGTTATTGTATTGATTGATATGGGGTCTATATATTCATACATTACTAGTAAGTTAGTGAAAGAATTGAATATTCTGTTAGAAACTACTAGCAATGAGGTGATAGTGACGAACCCATTAGGGTACAGTGCTCGGGTAAATATGGTGAGTCGAGGATGTCCCATACGGATTCAGGGAATTGAATTTCCTGCTAATCTGATGAAATTACCTTTCGATGAATTTGAAGTGATACTAGGAATGGATTGGTTATATCGTTATTACGCTAATGTCGATTGTAGATTGAAAAGAGTAACGCTGAGAAGTCCAGAAGGGTAGATGTGGTGGTATTTAGTGAAGGATGGAATCCATTGGCAAATGTAATTTCAGTAATGTCGGCGAAGAAGTTATTGCTACAAGGATGTCAAGGGTTCATTGCTAATGTGCTGGATGTTAGAACCAAGGAGAAAGGGATTGAAGGAATTCCTATAGTCAGAGAATTTCCCGATGTATTTCCTGTAGAGTTGCCAGGTTTACCTCCGGACAGAGAGGTAGAATTCTAGATTGAGATAATACAGGGAACAGTGCCCATTGTAAATGGCACCATACAGGATGGCTCCAAAAGAGTTGCAAGAATTAAAGATTCAATTACAGGAGTTACTAGACAAAGGGTTTATTAGACCAAGTGTATCACCTTGGGGAGCTCATGTTCTATTTGTTAAAAAGAAAGATGGATCAATGCGTCTTTGTATCGATTACAGACAGCTCAATAAAGTGACCATTAAGAACAAGTATATACTTCCCCGAATTGACGATTTATTTAATCAATTAAAGGAATCTTCAGTGTTTTCAAAAGTTGATCTACGTTTGGGTTATCGTCAATTAAAGATTCAAGAGAAATACATTTCAAAAATGGCGTTTAGAACAAGATATGGTCATTATGAGTTTATCGTGACGCCATTTGGAGTTACGAATGCACCAACTACTTTTATGGATCTAATGAACAGGATATTCCAACCTTATTTGGATCAGTTTGCTGTGGTGTTTATTGATGATATTTTAATATATTCAAAGTCAGAAGAAGAGCATAGTTCACACTTACAGATTGTTTTACAGATTTTACGAGACAAGAAGCTTTAAGCTAAATTTTCTAAGTGTGAATTTTGGTTGAATGAAGTGAAATTCCTTGGACATGTAATTTCTGCAGAAGGAGTTCGAGTGGATCCCCAAAAGATTAAAGCTATTATGGAGTGGGAAGTTCCAAAGAATGTATCAGAAGTTAGAAGTTTTCTGGGGTTAGCTGGTTATTATCGAAGGTTCGTTAAAAACTTTTCGATCATAGCATTACCCCTAACTAAACTGTTGAAAAAGGAAGTAAAATTTGTTTGGACTCAAGAATGTCAAGAGAGTTTTGAAAAGTTAAAGAAGATTCTTACAGAAGCTCCAGTGTTAGTTCAACCTGAGTCTGGTAAGAACT